AGCACAGTCTATACAGGACTCAGACAGGTTAACAATTTCAGCACCTCTGCATATCACCAGAATGCCTCTCTTCTGACTGAATAGCTTTATTAGAATAAAGGCAAAATCATGTCACTGACACACTGCTGCACAGAATTAGATGTTTTACTTCAATCACCTCCTTGGACAGAGAGATGTTTCAGTCTGAAGATCAAGTTAAAAGACTGAGCAGCTCTTAGATAATTCCAAGCATCACTTGCTTTTGTGTATTTCTTTTTCTTGCATCAATGATTTTAATCAAAAATTGTTTTCTTGCACTAACAGATTTTGCTTTCTTTTCATATTTTAAATTCTTCTGAATATAGCTCCCCAGTAAATTTGGAAACACATTCAGAAATGGAGCTTGGCTACAGCAACCTCACTACCAGCATTCTCTAGCCTTCAGTGTTGGATGAATGAATGTTCTCTTGAATACTATTATGCAACTATATGTTAGTATACAAATAACCCAGAGAGGTTTCAGCACACTTCAAAGTTGCTCAGAATTACAGACTGTCTTGTTGGCCATTCACTTGTCAAGTATGTCATTGCTTTTGTCAAGGCATACTTTGGAAATTAAATAGATACTCTGCAGAAAAGCTTTAGCTATTGCTTTAGCATTTTTAACAAGTTAAAATGATGTTGTTAAGACAGCTTTTATTGAGTTTATCCTTTTTTCACATTACAATTGCTTGTAAATCTTTTCTTCAGCCTTGAGAAGGTAATTTTGATTTTCTTGTTCTCTGTCTTGAGAAACTGATGGCTCACATTGAGCTGACAGAATCAGCACTGGTTTTAGCTTAAAGCACCCTGTGTTCTGAGGCTGTGCTAACTCTGACAGAGCTGTAACAGTGGTGTCATTGTGGGAACAATGGCCTTCAGTCTGAACTGTGAGCACAGTTAGCTTGGCCCAACCTGGGGGAGGTGAAAGAGAGGCAAAGGTGGCCATGGGTCACTGTGCACCTCTCAGGAAAAAGGAGTGCTCGAACAACAGTTTGAGAAGCCTGAAAACCTACACAAGCATGTGCTGTGCCATGATGGCTCTCCTACATGTGAGCTCTCAGCTCTTCAATTTTCTCTCTTCATTCTGTATGGGCACACTCCTGCAAAGCTCTGCCCCAGACACTGTGCACAGGTGATACAATCACTCCTACGAGTGCCTAAGAGAGGAGAGCACCTACACAGGCTCCCCTGTCTCACATGGGCTGGGCTGGAAGCAGGATCTCATCCAGAACAGCATCAGTGGCATCCTCCAGACTTCAGCTGTAAAAATATCAAAAGCACATGAAGCTCCAGGACAAATGCAATCATTTGAATCTGGTTCAGTGGAACCAGACTTGTTTCAATCTATCAGCGCTGGCACTCGAGCCACCCTGGTGACAACACAAATGCACATTCATACCACTGACCCTAATGGCACAGGATACCTCAAAAAACTCCCAAGAACCATCCACTGAGAACTTGCCAGGCTAGCAACAGTTCCTACAAAGGCTTACAATAAAACAAGTTAGCAGTAGCACAGAATTAGATGTTTTACTTCAATCACCTCCTTGGACAGAAAGATGTTTCATTCTGAAGATCAAGTTAAAAGACTGAGTAGCTCTCAAATAATTCCAAGCAGAACTCGCTTTTGTGAATTTCTTTTTCAAGAAAAAGAAACAAACACAAAGCAAATGTGCCTCAACCAAACCAGCACAGCTCATGCAGAATGCTGGAGAATGCCACCTGTATCAGTGTTGGCAAGCTGGCAAAAATTCGAGTCATTCAAGTCAGTTTCTCTGGTCTAAGTGTATTGTGCACACTGATACACACCCACTCACACACTTGCTTAGTGCACTGCTGCTACAGAACCAAGGTGGCCACAGTGTGATCCTGCATGTATCCCTAAGAGGTCTTGGCACAACAGCAAATACCAAAAAAAAAAAAAAAAAAAAAAAAAAGGAGAAGGAAAGGAAAGAAAAAGCAAAATCTGTATTAACAACAAATCTGTATTAACAATAAAGTTAAACAAGCTGGAGCAAGTTAGATGTTGATATATTTTGCAATTTCCTGTTAAAATCAGAATGTCAGTTCACACTGGATTTTGAAGAGCCCCAACTAAGGTTAGTGACAGTGGCATATGGAAAAGCAGCTTTCAAATTGTCTTACTGCCACACAAAATACACAAGTCTGCATAACTATGTTTTCTCCTCCATTTTATTTTCAACATATTTATAGACTATTCCCCAGGCCATGAAGTCAGTGCATAAAATACACTGTTTTTTCAAAGCTATAATCATTCTGCAAGGTTAAAGAAATTCTCTAGCAAAAAAAGTAAAGGAACTTGCGTAGGCTTACAGGCAGGAAACACTTTTTTCTTCTTAATTTCATTCTATGCTAGACACCACAGCACCCAGAATTTCAAGAGAAAGCACAGGTAACACTCAAAATTAGCAACAATCCAGGCTGCACAATCTCTTCAACATTCCTGAGTTTTAGTCCTGTCTTACAGCAGAACAGCTGTAACATTATCTTCTGTTTTCTTCCTATGATTTCCATAGCATGTTGTTGTCATACATTAGATTAATGTCACTCACACATACATCTAATCGTTGGGGTTTTTATCTTGCAAGCACAGCAAATAGCCCTCAGTGTTACAGTAAATGATGAAATGTTTCTTTCCTGCTCTCTACAACATCCTGTACTTCTTGGTAAAGGGGACGAGGAAGAAAGAGAAAATAAAACTTGCAACATTTCCTTTTCACAACCACAACCACTCAGAGACCCAGCACACAATTTAATGTGATATATATCTAACCCAAATGACCTTACCTTTCCCCTCTGCCAGCATAAGGGCTCTGCTTCTCAGTAACACTACAGCCACCAGCCACACCTACACTAGTGCAGGAATGTCTACAGACTTAGCATGAAGAAATCTTTACCATGAAAAGTTACTGCCAACACTTCGTACTAGGAGAAGTGAATGCTCATACAAATGGAGCTGTGGGTATAAATACTGTCTGAGAAGAGATAAAAGAGAATTGCAAAAATATTTAGCTCTCCCTATTTTATTGGGTGCAGGAGTACATTTAGAGCTAATGTATCATGGTTATTTCTACAGGCTACAGCACAAACATTTGGTTTTCATATGGAATTATTTGAGAAGGCACTATTGTGATATGTGATATTGCAAGAAGTTCATTTGCCAAAGTTCCTTGAATACCTGAGGTAACTCCTACTGATATTTACAGGCAAGATGAAAAGCACAAAAATATAAGAAGGTGAAGCTGAAAGAGTGCAGCTCCAAAAATAATTTAGATTTTAACTTATGTTAAAGTCACCACAGAAAGCCAGTTGCTTAAATTTGGATGAATTTTAGATTGAATGGCATCGATAAAATATGACTTTATGCAAAGTATGTGAAGCATTACATAAAATTAGATAGATTTACATCCTGCACACAAAAATATGTAAAGCATGTAAAGAATGCACACACTTAATACGCACACCAGAAACTGACATTACAGCACCAATACCCATGCTGTGGCAGCTTTAGGAGTCACACCTCAGAGCTGGAGAGACACCAGAGCAGCACGGAGGGCAGAGAGGATGAGTTATTTCTAGCCCATAAAAGGATCTGCTCTTTCTACAGTGGTGAAAGCAAATAGACTTTCAGCTTATCAGCACAGCACAAGGCTACTGCTTTAGGGCTACAGGTTCAGCTGCAATGTAGACACATGCTCACTTGTCTCCTGCAAAGACTCCCCAGATCCACTCAGTGGTTTGGGAAGAGCCCAGGACAGAAGAAGGCAGCAGACAACTCTTTGTGCTCCTACAGCACAGAATTCATAGTGAGGGACAGCTCCAAGGTCTCATGAGGGCAGGGCAGATGCTCAGCAGGTAGCGGCAGCCATGAACAGTCATGGTCAACTTCATCTCCTGCTACCGACGGTCATTTCTAAGGGCAGCTGACAGCTAATAACAAACTGGAAGAAACCAGGCAGCTTTTAAAGAGAAACCTGAGGATTTGATGTCACTACTCAATAACTTAGAACACAATGAATCCTAACTTTGAATGGCAGTTTAGAAATCCAATAATCTACGTAACTTTTAAAAATGACTGCACAAATACAGGCATGGGGAAAGAAGGCATTGGGAGCTTACAAAAGGTGAAGGCAACAACTCCAGGATAAAACCCTATCAAGGCACAAGTTTTTACAGGATGAAAACGTACGTGTGGAGGTATCCGTACACGATATCTTTCATGCTCTTTCCTGGGCATTATCACTGCCACTACCGTAATTAAGCTGACAAATCACCCCTCAGATAATTATGGCCCATAAAAATGAGAAAGAGCTTATCCATCTGTTAATCTTCTCCACATCTGCATGGAGCTGAATTTCATGCACTGACTTAAGGCATCAGCTCAAATCCTGGCAGCCTTCCACCATCGACTGCTTCTGAATTTCAGCCACACATCTCCCGCATCCCTCCCCGTGTCACTGGGTCACTGCTGGAGGTCTCTGGCAGGCAGGGCACGGAGCCAGCGGGAGCTGCAGCCTCAGCTGTGGTGCCCAACTCTACCAGGTCGCTGTGGGCACCGCCACTTGGCCCCGCTGTCTCCTAAAAGCTTCCCCACACTACGGAATGAGTGAGGAATGAGGCGCTGCACTGCACGGTGTGCCATCGCATCACGGCGCTACCGCTGTCAATGGCAAAAAGTTAACACTGCCACTTTGGGCTCGCACACGTCCGTCTGCTCAGAAGGGATCATTGCTGCGTTAGGAGGAGGCAAAGGCACCTTCTGACAGACGCTCTGCCAGAGGAACGCGGGTTTTGGCGCTGCTGGCAGCTGCGAGGGCTGAGGGGCCAAACCCGCGCGGAGCCTGAGGGCTCTCCGGCCGCGCCCCACAGGAGCCGTCCGGCCGGGACGGGCGCGATTCCCGCGGGCTGCGAGGGCCCCGAGGAGCCCCGGCAGCGGCCCCCGCCCGCTCGCCCCTTACCATCTGGGCCACCTTCAGCATGCCGGCGCAGGAGCGGAAATAGCCGCCGTCCATGAGCTCCGCGTCCGAGCCCGCCGAGGAGGAGGCGACGGTGACGGGCGGCGGGGCGGCGGGCCCCGCGCTGCTGACCCCGGTGCGGATCACTCGAGCCCCGTGCGACATGGCTGCGACCGCGCTCCCCTCGGCCCGGCACGGGGATCGGGACGGGACGGGATGAGATGGGACGGGGCGGGGCGGGGCGGGCGGCGGCGCCCCGGGGCTGGCGGGGCCGGGCGGAGCGCGGCGCTTCCCCGCCCGCCCGGGCCGCGGGGCGGGGGAGGCCGAGGGGAGCCGCGGGGGTTTCCCGGCCGCCGGGGAGACGCCGCCGCACCCAGGCGGGACAGCGGGTCCGGGACAGCCGGGAGCGGGAGCCGCGCAGGGAGGCTCCCCCCGCGCCCTGCAGCCCGCCCGGGATGCATGGGAACAGGCCGGAGGGAGCGGGACCCATGGAAACAGGCCGGAGGGAGCGGGACGGCCGCTCGGAGGGAGCTCGGCACCGAGAAGCTCGGCTGGACAGTGACAAACTCCTGGGAGGGGAGCGACTCCGGTGCTTTGCCGTGGAGGCACAGCTGCAAACAGCGCCTTCTCACACGGCTCCCACTCTTGCTAATCCCCCTTCCAGTCCTCTGATTCTCGATCTCATAAAAGATAAAAACCATTTGCATCAATGGGCAGCAACAGGTAAAACTGTAAGGGCTGTCCAGATGTCTCAGGCCCAGTGTTTGAATTAAATCATACAGCAATTGTAATGAAACGCAGCAAAGGAAGCTATGTATTTCTTCACGTTTAAAAATAACTTGTTCTGCTTCCTGACAAGTGAGGTATTAGCAGGCCTCTGAGCTGGGCATACGCCACTTTTGTACTCACTGCAGTAGTGATCCCATCTTCTGCTGCTTCGTTCCGCAGTTACAACACAGATTCTGTTCATATTTAGTATTTAATAAGTTTTTTCAGCAACTAAAATTGTCCTAAGAGGGAAGACGTGTAAGCCCAGATGACCCCCAACACACATAAGGCCCCAGCATAAGCAATTTACTTGGAGCAAAATAGGTTTGCCAATGTGGACAATGGTCCTCATTAGATTAAGCAGTACAGAGTTCTGGACTTCTGTTAAGCCATCTTGTGGTAGCAGTAAAAGGTATTACCTTTTAAATGTGGTCCCACCACGTTTTATCTCATGTCACTAGATATCAAAGCTACAACACTGGCTACTGCCACAAGAGTAAAATGCTAGCTGCTGAGAAATAAAAGAAAAATTTGTTCCACTTTTAAACAGCTGTTTGGTTTTTTTTTCTCCTTACAGTTCCCATTCGGAAGCGTGCATGGCTACAGGTTTCTGTAAGCCCTGTGGAGGAAGATTCCAGCAACTTCTTCACTTCCTATTTAGAAATACGCAGTTTTACCTGCTGGTTCAGCTTCTTTAGTTCTCTATTTCTTTTGAAAGTGTATGTGTGTGACTGGGGCCCTGCTGATCTGAGTTCAGGGCAGTGAAACAGAAATAACTTTAAATTAATAGCGGTGGCATAACAGAGATGTTTTCTACCCACCAATACAGGCATCTTCTGTGAAGCACTGGGACAAAGTCAGCCTAACTCTACTGCATTTGAAGTTTTTATTAGTTCTCATGCTCTTTACTTTGTCTTGTTAGGGGCATTGTGTATGAGGATGAAAAAAGGTGCTGACAACTCCTTAATAAATGAAAATTAATGCCCATAAGTTGACATCAAGTACCCTTATGTACGTGACTTAGATTTTTCAGAGACTTTGTCTGAAACAACTTAGTTATAAGTCAAACACCTTCATTTTGCAAGTTTATTAGCAGTTTGTTTATTCTTCTAAATATCTGTATTAAGAATTTCACTAAAGACTTCACTTACCAGTTGCTCTTTTATGGCTTCTTTCAATCTAACCTACAGCAGATACAAACCATGTTTTAATTGTTATATAACAAACCACAGCTAGCTTATCTTCTTTATCAATATTAGAATATGCAAATGCATTAACTCATACTTTCCAAATCAATATTTAAGACTAGTGAATTGGAAGATAATCTTTTGGGTGCTTATGCCTTTCTTCAGGCCTGAAACTGGAGGAGCAAATTCCAAAAGGAATGCTCATCTTGCGCTGACTCCTCCAATTTTAACTAGATATTCAGAGCATTTCAAAAATAAGACAGTTGGTACCTGGGCAACAGATGAGAAAGAGCATGGGAAGTAAGATAATTATCTTTGTGAAAAGACAGAGCAAGGCAGGTAAGTTATGGTTTGTGAAGAAAAGGAAAAGAAAAAAAAAACCAAAGCCAAGTACAAAGCAAATTTTTGCCTAGTATGTATTTTTTAAAATTCAGAATTGAGGGTTCAACTCACAGATTTGTCTTCGGAAGTCATTCTGCAAATCTTCCCTCGAGGATCAGCACTGAAGTCTCAGAGAGCATGTAGATATTTTGCCAGAATCACTCCTTATCTGGTTTTATCTTACATTAAAGGGCAACTCTGACATGTAACACACAGTTGCCATGACAGTTTTAAGTAAACTGGACAAAACAGAACCTCCTCTTAGCTCTCCTCCCTCTAACTGCCTCTGTCCACAAATGAGGTCTGGGTTATGAGTTTAGACCAAACAAACCATTGCAGTTACTACAAAATCTTGAAATGTTTGTGCAAATATAGTCACATCCTTTGGAGTTGAAATAGATACATCAAATATCAATTAAGAAAGAACTTCTATCACTACCGAAGCTTTTTGACTGATGAGAAGTCACTGATGAAACTTTAATTTTGGCTATATTTCTAACAGTGTGACTGATAAAGTCACAATTTATCAGTTGGCACTTGGATCATTTCAATGCCTTTGATTCTTTTTATTCCCAGCGATGGAAAAGAGCATACGGGATTTTAATGACACATTTTATCTATGTAGATAAAATACAGAGTTGGTAGCCATTCTTCCTTCTCACAACTGGATAAATTTAGCAAGCAGCAGACAGCCTGACCCATGTTGTGTAGGCCAAATGCAATTTGTAGACAAGTATAGGTTTTTAAATAATATCTTGGCTTCCCTTACACTGAAATCTTATGACTGACAGATAATCAAGAAGAAAACCATGTGGTCGAGAATGGAATTAGCTGTCTGCTGATAAATCTTCTGCAAGGCACATATGTAAGTAACCACACACCATTTATTTACAAGGAGAAATAAAGGAGATTTTTTTAAGCAGTAAGGTTTCTCTGCTGCCATATATTATCAATCAAATAAGCTTTTGAAGACTAGAAGGGAATCCAAACCTTCTTAATCCAAGAATAAAAGGTTCACCAGTAGTTTTAAATGAGGAAAGCTTTAAATAACATCATAAAATAATCACAACCTTTCACTCACCATGTAATTTCTGGAAAAAAATCCTTAGGTAATTTGTATTTGAAAGTAATTTTCAAAGGTATCTGTTTTGAAAGTCATATTCTGTCATACTTCTGCTTGATTCAAAGTTATTTAAATAGGAGTACCAACTTCATTTGTTAAATGAACAAGTTGCAGATGATGCCAGTAGACAGGAAAGGAGGGAGGAAATTCCTTTCTTGTAGCACTGGTGTCTTGACAATTCTGCTGTGGATTTAATCTCTGTATCATTGAATAGGATTTAGAAGCCCAGATTTTAATAAGAGAGAGTAATGGCCTAATCTGAGGAGAAGAAACCCCAAGAAACCAGAGTCTGCTGAGAAACAAGAAGTGTTTGTTACCTTCAGCCAGAGATTTGTGATGCCCTCAGCAGGTTGAGCACTGAGCACTAAGGGGGTGTTGTCTGGGCTCCTGCTTTGGAGCCTGTTGGATCTGAGAAACCTGTTAAGATAATGTGTTCCAGGCACAGCATTTCTTCAGCTTCAGACCTACAGTAACCAAAAGCAACCTCGTGATCTGAGAGGCTGTTAGACTATGCACACCGACAGGATCATCACAATTCCTGGTAGTATCTATTGTACTCTGAAAAAGAAATTTAAAAAAGCAAGCAAGCTTCTACTCTCAGTTTACAAAACATGTACAGTTGGATCATTTATTTATTTATTTTTTAAACTTTCAGGTGTTTTTTTTCTGCACAATGTCACTTTTTCATACATAATAATGATACAATATCAATCTTAGTTTTGGTAGCCTTCAGTATCAAAAGTATAACTGTAACATTTAAAAAGTTACATTTACATATGTGGCACATTGAGTAAGATTTTTTAAAGGTCTAGTAGTAATAACTATACAATGTCTAGAAAAATACTATGTTAATTTTAAAAGAAGCAGTATGAAATTTTATTATATAGTACAAAGTCAGATTAAAAATGTCTCTAAAGATGGCATTATTATAAATAATCCATTGATCTCAGTTTATATCGTGTCAATTCTATGAGAAATGTTCAAAAATATCTCGCCCCTCTTCCAAGCTTTTATCAAAAATGAATAATCCTCAAAGTACTTTACACAACAGGATTCACTTTAACAAAGTATTTACTGCAAAGTTCGTGATCGCCAGGATATAAAGCTGAAATACGTATTTCCAGCATAGCAGGAGGTAACCACGAAGGCAAAGAACTGTTGAGAGAGAGGAAAAAACAGATTAGGAAATAAATATATTTGAAAGCACTGTAATTTCTAAGGCAAAAAAATAGTTATGGGACTGGGGAAAAAGGAAAATAGCAAGCTGACAAAAATGGCACACTCTCACCTCGTGCCTATGTGGCCATCACAGCCAACACTGTGTAAAAGTAAGCTTATACTATGTCTAGAAGTATGGGCTTGAACAGACAAAACATGACATATTTCAATTTTTTAAATAAATTCCTCATTATATGACCTCATATCTTAAAGATTGGACTGCCACCAATCTAAATACTTGCCACTTTTAGAGGCTGAGGAATTGTCTGTGGGACAATGTGAGCTCAAGCTAGCACTCCTGCCCTGCTGCTGTGTTCCAGGTATTGCTCACAGCCCACCTGTACCCCAGCACGGCTCACAGTGCATCTGTTTGCTTACAGAGAAGGCTTGGATTTAAATACAGGCCCAGACGTGTTCTCAAACAGCACTGCTGATTAGCTTACCAATTTCAGAGGTGCTCTACTGATGGATAAAGATATTCCTCAGTG